CGAGTACCCTCAGCTCTGGGACAAATCTATTCCCATATATATATATATTATATGAAGCTGCAAGAGCTTCACATTCAAGAGTTGGTCGCAGGTGGTATATAGCATTTTGAAATCCTTTGTGTCTAGGTTCCTGACGGCTATTGTCATAATTGCCTGATAGACATGTGGTGCAAAAGTTATTTTGTTAATGGGGTGTTCAACGGTTGGTATGTCATGCTCCCATAGATTCTTGTGTACCATTATTTCTGACACCCGCCTCTCCCTTTCAGCCTTGTTTAGACCCCCCTAAGGGGGGTTTTCTCCCCCTCATCTATCCTTATTACTGTGTGTGTGGGAAGGGGATACAATCTTAGATAAGAAGAGAGTGAGTGGCCACATCCGGTCAAGAGCCGTAGCTGTAAGCTGGTCCAGAGGAGAGAGAGTGTGTGTGTGTGTATGTCAGCCCCCTGTGCTCCTCGCTCCCTCCAGCTGCTCTATTATCGTGACTTGTGTGACTGACCGTGTCTAGGTGCCTCGTCTGCCTATTGTGGGTGGGGCTCCGTCCGTGGCAAGAGTGACAACCGCCACAGAAAATGGCGCCATTTAGTCCGTGTCTTCATAAGTCTAAGTCATGGCCGCAGGTGCCTTCTCCAGCTTGAACCAGCGCGGGTCGTGTGTATTGTGTGTCTTTGTCCAGTGACTGTGTGTGTAACCTGCACATTGTATAGATATACACACCTGAAATGTTGAAGAAAAGGCTGTCAAGGAGTGTGGGCAACCTCGTGCGGGAAGATGATGATATTGTCTGCAGTTTCGGCAATTCGGTAATAGGCTGTTTTGTGTTTAAACTTATCCCGTTAACTTTGTTGTTTTTATATTTTTTGTGTAGGATTTATGTCCAGGGCGGGTACTGTATACGGTTTAGGATAGCACGAATCCTATTGACTCTGTTAAATCCTGTATGAACCCTTCCATTGCATAAGATTATAAATGTGCAACTTCCACTTTCCCCCGTTTTTTGTAATATATGTTTAGTTTAAGATTGATTGATTGATTGATTGATGAAGATTAAGCCACCTAAGAGGTGGCACGGGCACGTTTAAGATGGTTGAGAATCAAATATATATATATATAATATATATATATATATATATATATATATATATATATATATATATATATATATATATATATATATATATATATATATAATATTTGACATAACTCTTGCTTTTTTATTGGTTTTGGGTGAGGTGGGTGCATGAGAATGGACGTAACTGCAGAGGGCCTATTGGGCCATACCGGGTGCCTTGAAGTGGGTAGAATATTCTACCCACTTAAAGTGGGTAGAATAGTGGGTAGAATGTGAGTAGAATAAAGTGGTGGGTAAAGTGGGTAGAATATTCTACCCACTTAAAGAATATAGTCGGTGGTAGAATATAGTGGGTATATAATGAATATAGTGGGTAGAATATAGTCGTGCATTAATTGACTGTTGATTGCTGGTGTTGACTTTTATATGTATGTATGTATGTATGTATGTATGTATGTATGTATGTATGTATGTATGTATGTATGTATGTATGTATGTATGTATGTATAATATTAAAACTTGTACAGGAGAATGTGAGGAGGAGTGAGGAGTACGAGGCAGCAGTAAACTAACAGTACCGGACACAGGGTGGCGTCACTGTCGCTCACAGCTTAGTCAACCTCCGCAAACTGCTCCCTCCACACACCAGCTCGGCCTCCTAAGGTTTTCCCAACGTCAAAAAAACGGTCAATTTAAAGTGTTCCTCTCCTAACCTACCAGAGGACCCAAAACAGAAAACGGTACGTCACTTTCGCCAGCCGCTTCCATTTTCTAGTACGACAATTTATGGCCATGTGTAACGCATACGTGCGAAATGCGACGTTCTTTGTAAGGTTGTAGAGCGACCCGGCCTCCTAATAGAACGTCGCATTTTTGACGTATACCCTACCTCCTAGTGCCAAAAATTTTCGTACTAATAAATGGTAACGGCTCGCGAAAGTGACATGCTGTCCCGTTTTCTGTTTCGGATAAGGGCGCGCTTTAGTACGATAGTTTCTTGAAGTTGGAAAATCTTAGGAGGACGGACTGTGCACTCCACGCACCAGAAGTTTACAGGAATGTGGTAACGGGATGGATGTATGTTGTTTAAGATTCGCTACCGGGAACAAAAAGTTTTAATACCACGGGCTATGGTGAGCCCGCAGTAGGATGGATGTAGTGACCGCATTTCTCACTCGTGATCCACTCCCACACAAACACTAACATCGGCACATTACCCAAATAACTGGCTGATATCGCTTTAGAATAAAAAGGCAATTACAACATGTTTTCTAAATACAGTTTAGACAACCTACGTCAGACCAAGTGCTAGAATACGCAGTATCGTCACTGAATCAGCACATCATAACGAACCAAAAAAGTTTAAAAAGGTCAAAGGTAACTGTCAAACAGCTCAATCGAGCTTTAGCTCTTGGACCCCGTGTGTGCCTGTATGAATGACACAGTAGGTTTGCTTTGAACAGAAAAAAGGCACAACATAGCAAAACAAAAAAAGTTCAAATACGCTATGGCAAGCAGGACCAAAACAACAACTCTATTCTAGGCCTATGTACAAAATTATAATAGATGTATATTTTAGGCTAGCAGCTAGCTAGCCTAGGCTAGCAGCCTCATACGGGAGAGCCGCCGCTGATTTTCAAAGCTCTTTGCTCCAAATCTCGCCATTAAAGTCTCGGCTGTAGACGGACCCTGCAGCCGAACTTGACTATAACGACAGGCGGAGTTGTAACAGGAATTATTGAGAATTAATGACGCTATTGAGCCATAGAGTTGTATATTGTTTACAGCTTGGCTGAGGTGGCGGAAGGGGGGGGGGGGAGGGGGATGTGATTCCTTTGTCCTCACCGGAAGGGTTCGGTCGACCGGCTGATGAGACCTCTCCTTCCGACCATTGAAACTCGACAGTAAATCTGAGGACTCTGACGGAACTGAGGTTTATTGTGAGGTTTCTGGGCGTCCGTGGGAGTCTTTTGTCAATGGAAGGAGCTGCCAGTATTCCTCCGGTCTAGCCACGAGATGTACTGTGCGCCTGAAACTTTACACATCGCTTATTGACCCTTCCTAACCCACTACACACCGCTAACATAGTCCCCTTAATACATTACACACCGTTAATACACTTGACGATATGTATTACTGATTACACACAAATCACAATAGCGTGATGCATCAAATGAACAAATCCACAAGGGCTGTAGCTCAGTCGATTAAGGCAGCGTCTGGGATGCTCTCAAATGTAGGTTCGAATCCTCGTCACGGCCCTTGTGGATTTGTTCATGTATTACTGACCTTTCGAGCTACACGACAATATACGACAAAATTCTACACGAATCGATAAAAAAGGTTTTAGCTGTCGTAAGGTAATTTGGAAGTATGCAGGTGTGTTAATGATGACTATTGACTAACATCTGCCTGTATATTCAAGCGTCTAACATCTGCCTGTATATTCAAGCGTTCGATACAAACTTTGGCCGCAAATAAAGCTTTTGTTTTTTTCGAGTTGTTGTTAGATGTAACATTGTAGTCATCGGAAGGTGAAAACTTTCCCGCCAACTGCACGAGTCATAAAGACTCGTTCTTGCATTTTTGTATGTAACCGACCAGTCTACTAAAAATTAAAGTGCTTTAATTAATTGTATTGGCGTTTTTTATGCATCGGCCTCTGTAAATTAGGAGAGGTTGCTTGGGTTTGAACGCTTTGGTTAGGTAATACAGTTGTGTAAGTTTGTGGATATTCGCAGGGGGGGTGGGGGTGGGGCAGGGTATGTAACACAGGTAACAACTAGCCCACCGTAGGTGTAACCAGTTAAACTCCTCACCAGGATGGGTTGCCGGACCAACCGGAAATCCATATCCACCGGCTGTGGTGGATATGTGGGCCTGCGGGCCGCTCCAAGCAACAGCCGGTTGGACCAAGTTCTCACAAGTCAAGCCTGTCCTCGGGGCGGGCTTGAGGAGTAGAAGTAGTCCTAGAACACCATCCAGGTACAATCCAGGTACAAGCTCGACGTTGGTAACGTGATAACCTCGAGCTTACTGGACACTGCTTATTATCAGGGCGACATACACTTCCTTTCCGGGAGCAACTGTCACCAAACACCTCGGCCGGAAATCATGCAGTCTCCCGCTCTACCCGGACGTCATGGGAAATGTGTTATTTATTTGTGCTTATAGTTGGAAATCTCGGGAAAGTATATGTTTCTTGGGTAAAGTATTTGGGTACGATAATGAGGGCACGAGTTGTGTTGGTGTGTGAGGAGGTTGAGGTGTGCCCCAGGGAAGGGAAGCCATTATAACCACGCCAACACGCTATTGTAGCGCCTGTTGGAATGGTCAGCACGAGCCATGTGAAGGCTCTTTGACCATAATGGTCTTCCGGAAGGTGGCCAACTGGGCCTCCCGACTATTACACTTACAAGTAAACACTAACGTTTTCCAAAATTGACCACATCCGGGGTCTTTGTTGTAAATTTACCCTTTTAAGAATGACGACCGGGCCGCGGGGACGCTAAGCCCCGGAAGCACCTCAAGGTAACCTGTTGTCGATGGTAAGCACACAAGTGTTTTTGTGTACAACTCCAGAGGCTACGTCCTTTGGTCTTGGGTTTCATATTGTGACGGCTGTGTGCTAGTGGAAAAGCTTGTGTGTGTTGTTGTGGTGAGAGAGAAAGGTGTGGCTTGTGGTGGTTAGTGGGCTAGGGGCTTGGAGCACGTGGATGGCCGGGTGCGCCTTGACCCCTGCATCCTGTGGTCAAGCAGCTGGTCTTGTGATAGCACAAGCCACACACTCCATAACTTGGTACATTTAATTCATGCTCATAGCCACACAAATGTATATATTAAACTCTTTAGTGCTCATTTAAAACATCTTTCCCTGTAGATTGTAAATATGTGCAAAAAAGACAAATTTGTGTATCTTTGCTTGCAGAACTTCTTCAGCAAGAGGTCATTTAAAAGTAACCCGCTGAAGAGGACCAAGTCGGTAACGAAGTTGGAGCGGACGAAGCGAGGTGGGCGTGGGGGCGTGGGCGGCCTCCTGGAACCTGACCCCCTCAGTCTGGGCTCCTCCACCAGACTGAGATCTTCAAGGTCACACGAATCCCTCTTATCTAGTCATAACATGATGAACACACTCGACCTAGCCGCTGGTGGGTTGCGTGGAATCTGTTTTCTATAACACATAATATAAACAAAATTCTAGTAATACGACTGTTCTAGACTAAAAATATGTGATGTCAAATCATGATAAATGAGTGTTTTCGTCGATTTTTTTGATAATACTGACGTTTGCTTCATAAATGATTATACCATTTCCTCAGGCGAGGTGACCATCAAACCACTACATGCCAGTGTTCTGGGGCAGGAGCATTGCTTCCAGGTAAGCCTTATTCCAGTGTTCTGGGGCAGGAGCATTGCTTCCAGGTAAGCCTTATTCCAGTGTTCTGGGGCAGGAGCATTGCTTCCAGGTAAGCCTTATTCCAGTACGCACTCTAATGAAATAATGTTACTTTGATCCAACCTCAATAACGCTAATATGTGTCATATTACTGTCAATGGCGTTAGTTCAACAGGTATTCAACCTGGTGACAGGCTAATATACTCTAAAGTATGACAGATGCATACTAGTAACTAAACTTATTATGTTTAAACGAAATTTATATTTTGATATTGAATTAAAAGCATTTTATTTGTTCAGTAATTGTTCTTAATGCATATCTTGGCAAAACTATTTATATTAAATTCTGATATGGCTCAAGTGGCATTTATTGTACAAAAGTATGTAGGCAAATTTTCTTGATTATTTCCTCAGATTATTAATGCTCTTGATGCCGTTTATTAGGAATATTACAATATTTAGAAACATATAGAGGCCTACAAACATACATTTTTTTATTTTATTTTATTTTATTTATATATATACAAGAAGGTACATTGGGTTTGAGAGAATACATTGGATAGTACAGTATTTACATTCTTGTAAAGACACTAGTACGCGCAGCGTTTCGGGCAGGTCCTTAATCTAGCAGATAATTTTAAGTAGGTAATTTCAATCAGAATTGATAAATGAAAGATACATTACAAGAGAAAAATGAGATGAGAGAGATAAGTAAGTATATTAAAGCACATTGTTATATTAAAGCTCTGATTGATTACATTGACAGCTTGATTAGTAACATGTTTAATTTTTTTTAATTAATTAATTTTTTTTAATTAATTTAAAAAAAAACATTCTTACATGTTTAATTGAAGATTCTGGCACAGCTTGCTTAAATTATAACGTTTTATAGTTACCTGTTCACCAGTTGTCTCCCATTATGATAAACACAAGATGACCACTGATATTTGTTTTCATTTTCTAACAATGTTACAACAATGTCTTGTCTTCTTGCTTAACACTATTGCAGGCAAGACATGTATTTATGCGTTTAGTGAGGTCTTCTGTGTAGTCAAGACAGGTGGCTATCAGAAAATAGGTCATAGCAGTGTTTAAAGGGCGAGTATCTTAATTTTAAGATAAGTCATCAATGAGCCTCTTAATATTACATTTTTTAAAAGGTTGGTAACGGCCTTGTTGACTGCAATCCGATGCTCGCAAATCAGCAGGGCTTCAGTTATGCGCAGTTTTGTTTAATTACCTAATTGCTGGATTTTGTATCAGTATTTTGTCATTCAATGTATTTAGTATGTTCTTAGGCACAACACTTTAATTGCATACAATTATTATGAAAAGTGCACAAGTAAAGTAGTAAAAGTCTATTCTATGTAATGTTAATAGTGAGTCAAGTCTCCTTTAGGGTGTCGGGTTCAATAATATCTCGCCCACTCAATAAGCTGAAAGCGTTTGATTCCTGGAGCTATGGAATAATTTGTTGGTGGTGTTCGTGAGCTGTGTATGTTTGGTCGTCTACAGGTGGCTTCTCTATTGTGGAATCCATGAACCCACTTGTTATTATTGAGTATTTGCTTCCTAGAACCTCCTAGATATGACCCAACGTTTGCTGAACAGCAGCAAGCAGCTCCTCAAACATTATATTATAATAGCAACAGTTCTCCAAAATTATATTATAAGATCCAAGTGAGGCAACCTTATAAAATGTATGAAGAGGGGTATTGAATGTGACAGTATTCAGAATGTAATATACAGTATGTATGATTGTCAACCAAAATACAGTATCATTCTTACAATTAAGCTACAGATAGCCTGTCATGCTCCCCAAAATGCCTTCAATATGTGTATAACTACTAATGTCCTCATAGCAATACATGCCTAACCACTTGACTGGATGGTAGAGCGACGATCTCGCTTCATGCAGGTTGGTATATAGTCGGGGATTGAACACTAACCTGCAAGTGGTTGGGCACCATATATTCCTCCACCCCCTTTCATTCCATCCCAAATTCTTATCTTGATCCTTTCCCAGTGCTATATAGTTGTATTGTTGACACTTTCCCTTGATAGTTAACTTCCTTCGCAGTAATACCATGTTATCAAACAAAACAATATTGTAGGGCAAACCATCACTGGTTTATTGGGCACTCTTGACGAATCAAAATTGAACTGCCTGAAGCATGTCAAAATATAAACAAAAAATAATAAAATATAAATAAACTCTTTGAATAAAGGCCTGTGCATTTTACATGTGTAAGTATGAAAGATACGGAAAGGGAATTGTACTTGATGTTTCAACTGTTTGAACATACCAGATTAGAGAAAACTGTCCTAGACTATATGAAGGGTTACATAGTGTCAGGTATGTGATATGTCAGGTATGTCAGCTGTGTGATACTGAAAAAGCCCCATCTCGTGTGTATCATTTCACCTTGTTCATTGTTTTAAGTAAATATGACAAAATTATATATATTCCAAATATAATTCATTGAACTCTCTTTGTGGTTTCCAGGTAACCTCCCCAACTGGCACCCGTTACTTCAGTTGCAGAACCGCAGATGAAAGAGACAGATGGGTCGACTCCCTCCGCAAGGCTGTTAACCCTAATTATGACAGTATTCGGAGAACGGAGAATTCTCTAAAAATATTTATCCTTGAAGCTAAAGGAGTTAGTAATAAGAAAAGGTATGGAATTTATTACACTTTTAACTTTCATATGAACCAAGACTTTAAAATATATTTGTTACCTGTACCATAACTCATACCATACTGTATTGCTGCAAATTCATTCTTCATTTATTAAGGCCTAATACAAAGAAATATTCAGTACTGTACTGTGTGTGTACTGCTGCCTGTCAATGGTGACTATTCTCTTCCTTTTCTTAAATTATAGTTTATGTACTTATGGTCATGTCATTCTCATTTGTTTTTTCAGGTACTTTTGTGAACTGCTTCTTGACACCTCCCTCTATGCACGGACATCCAGCAAGCAAAAGGTGGAGATGTGCTTCTGGGGAGAGCAGTTTGAGTTTAGCAATCTACCTTCTGTTGAGAATATTAGTGTTGCTCTTTATAGAGAAGGAGAAAAGAAGAGAAAGAAGGTAAGAAACAATTGAGTGCATTAAAATAATAGTATATCAAATCAAGTTTTTGGTTTTATCACTTGTTTTGAAGTGATAAAACTTTTGTTTTCACATTTAGCTGGGAACAAAATTTCACTATATCTTTGATGCCACATTCGTTCCAGCAACTCGTATTCTTTGATAATGTGGCTTATCCATCTTGAACTGCTTGCCGTTCAACTTGTTTTACTTTACCGTGTCTCAAATCTTTTTAGCTTGTGTACAGAATTAGAACCTAAATACTTGTGCTGTTTTCAAATTTATCACAATACTACAGTAGATATCTCTTATAATAATACATTTCCTCATTATTAGGTATTCATTATAGATACAAAACCTTACTATTGTCACATGACCTTTTTTATGCTATCTCGAAGCACTATTTTTTTTTTTGTTTTTTTTTTTTTTTATTATTTTCTACCACAGACGTGGCCACACATTTACAATGCTAACCAGCATATATACATTTTCTTCTGTCCTCCATGGACAGGGTTAGAGAAGTGTTAAACATACAGTTCAAGGGTTTATTGAACACTCAACCACAGAAGGTGATTCGGTGCTTTTAAAACGCTAAGCCAACCTACATACGTAAATACAAAGATACACAGACTTACGTACGCCCTACATAAAGTATTAGATGTGTCTTTTACACAGTGTCACCAATGTACATTCACAAAGGTGAAATGTAATTCTGATCAGCTTCTATATATGCTTTATACCCATACATATACATACACACACACACATACACATACATATATACACACATACATGCATTCACATACATTTGTCTCATTTACCCTGACAGGGTGAGGTAGCTGATAAAGAAACTAGTGTGCAATTAAGCACTTAATGATCTCGAAGCACTGTGTTGTCTCAAGGCTTATGATGCTTGTGTATGGGTGGTAAAAAGATTTTTTCATATGAGCCATGTGAACCCCCTTCCCCCCATTGGTGACCATTGCTGCTGCTTCCATTTTTTGTAATAACGGTATTGATTTGGTCATTTATTTTCTTTATTAGGAGAAGCATGTCTTGGTCGGGACAGTAAATATACCAGTAGCCAATGTCACCAGTCGTTGTCACATTGAGAAGTGGTACCAAGTACAACACGACAACAGGGCGCCAAGTAAAGACAATGCAGCTCTCCGAATCAAGTGCAAATTTCAGTCAATTGATATTCTTCCAATTGAACTTTATTCAGATTTCCTCCAGGTTAGTTAATTTTTGAATTGTTGAAATGCATGATCTACATAATCACTGTATGATAAAAGTATAAATTTAAATTAGTGGGGATTAATTTTGTAATAGAAAAGTATATTATTTCTAATGCTCGTATATCAATCGGTTGTATTGTTGTAATGAAAGCAAGATTTCTAAGATAGTTGATGTCATTTCTAAAAGACATGTGGGAATACCTTCCAAGAAAATGAATTATATACTATACTGAGATGTTAATTTAAAATGCAGATGCTTGAGACTGTCTTGGTCAGTTTTTTATTTTTAATACCAACTTTCTATTTACAGTACGTAAAGGCAAACTACAGTATGGTTTGTGAGCTACTGGAACCAGTCATTAGTGTAAAAGCCAAAGAGGACATTGCAACAGCAATGATCCATATTATGCAGAGAGAAGGAATAGCAAGAAACTTCTTGGCAGACCTTGTCATGATGGAGATTGACAGAATAGGTAAGTCTTTTTATTTACATTTATCATCAGCCATACCCTTTTCCACTTTCATGAGGGATGAAAAGGCACCTTGTGAAGGCACCTTCAAAAAGAAAATGGTGGAAAAATACTGCAGGGAAAAGGTCTCTAAATATTCAGTGACACTTTTCTCTTGCAGTATCTTCTACAGTGAATACTGTAATCATTTGTATTTAAAAAATATTCAAAAGAATAATATACCTGTACATTCATTTAACAACTGTTCTAATGTATGTATATTTAATAAGACCACTAATACACAAGCATTTCGAACACAACTTAAAATAATTAAGTTTGGTTGTTTAACCACTCTACTGTACAGAGCACCTTCTTGATATTATATATAGGTGCACTGCAAATATATCAAATATTGTTTAATAACATAATGAAGCAGGACACACACACACATAAGGACATCAGCACAACAAGTTACACTTAGTTTTAATGTGACAGTCACATTGTGGCACTGTGACTGTCACACAGTCACAGTAATCTTATCAGTACTGTAATAAAGTTAGACAGGAGGTGACCAGCCCTAACAATTATCAACTCTGATATCAACCTGCTGTGTCTCTCTTTGCATTACAAAATGAGATTTGTATCTGTTTATTTAGCACCATTTATTTAATTTAAGGGTTGCTAAAACTAAACTGTACTAAAGAATGATGATATTTGTTTAGAAAGATTGACTTACATTCATTGATTCACTACACTACACTTTGTTGATTGATATAAAAAACTGAATGGTCCTAACTTATTTATTATATCCTTTGCTTCTGAAAGAGAACATATTATCTATGAATTATTGTTTCAGAGACAGTAGATAGTAGCAATCAGGTCAAGAATAAGGTCATTGTAAGTAAAAGTAAAGCTGCCCAATATATTGCTTGAGCAGTTCTTCCATTCCCATCTTCCATGGTGTATGTCCCTATTTCAGTGTTCAAATTTTGTAGCTCGCATTTAGTCCAAGACAGTGACTATTTAATAGTTTGCACTCTGGGCCATTGGTTTAGATCTGTACTTCCACTTGTACTTTTGAGAGGCACAGCTATCCATATACAGTACTGTACACAGTATGGTTTTCAATCTGAAAGATCTTGTGTAACAAATTTACTCAGTTTCTATGATCGAGCCGCAGAGATTTTATAGGAAAGAAATGGTTGGGTTGAATGCATCTATCTGGACCTAAAAAAAAAGACTTTCGACAGAGTTCAACATAAGAATTTGTTCTGGAAACTGGAACATAGTATTGGAAGGGTGATGGGTAAACTTCTAACATCGATGACAAATTTTCTGATAGAAAAATGAGGGCAGTAATCAGAGGCAATGTACTGGACTGGAGAAACGTCAAGTGGAGTACCACAGGGTTCAGTTCTTGCTCCGGTAATGTTCATTGTCTACATAAATGATCTACCAGATGGAATACAGAATTATGTGAAGATGTTTGCTGATGATGCTAAAATAATGGGGAAGATGAGTAACTTAGATGATTGTCATGTACTTCAAGAAGTTCTGGACAAAATAAGTATATAGAGCACAACTTAGCAAATGGAATTTAATGTATATAAATGTCATGTTATGGAATGTGGAATAGGAGAACATAGACCCCACACAACCTATAAATTATGTGAGAAATCTGTAAAGAATTCTGATAAAGAAAGAGATCTAGGGGTGGTTCTAGGTAGAAAACTATTACCCGAGGACTATATAATGAAAATTGTGTGAGGAGGCTGTGCTACACATTCGGAATACTTCAAATTGCTTTTAAATACATAGATGGCAAAATACTAAGGAATTGTTCACGACGTTTGTTAGACCAAAGCTGGAATATGCAGCTGTTGTATGGTGCCCATATCTTAAGAAGTACAACAACAAACTAGAAAAAGTGCAAAGACATGCAACTAAATGGCTACCAGAACTGAAGGATATGAGCTACGAAGAGAAGTTAGAGGCATTAAAAATGCCAAAACTAGAAGATAGTGATCATATCACCTCTTTTTCTTCTATGTACAATACAGTAACCAGAATCGGTAAAATTGATAGAGAAGAATTCCTGAGACCTGGAACTTCAAGAACAAGAGGTCATAAATTTAAACTAAGTAAACAAAGTTGCCAAAGGAATACAAGAAAATTCGCTTTCGCGAACAGTGTGGTAGACGGTTGGAACAAGTTAGATGAGAAGGTGGTGAAGGCCTAAGCCGTCAGTAATTTCAAAGCGTTATGACAAAGGGTGCTGGGAAGACGGGACACCACGAGCATAGTTTTCATCCTGTAACTTACTTAGGTAATTGCAACACTCTAAAATATATCACACCTACTTTAGCAAGTTAGTCACATAGCTTATAATTAAATACTGTAGACTTAATGCCATGATATCACTTGCACTCCAGTCCATCCCTTGAACTATTCATTTAGTTGTCCCTCCTATCATCACATGGTGGGGGTTGGGGAGCCGGTCGGCCGAGCGGACAGCACGCTGGACTTGTGATCCTGTGGTCCCGGGTTCGATCCTGGGCGCCGACGAGAAACAATGGGCAGAGTTTCTTTCACCCTATGCTCCTGTTACCTAGCAGTAAAATAGGTACCTGGGTGTTAGTCAGCTGTCACGGGCTGCTTCCTGGGGTTGGAGGCCTGGTCGAGGACCGGGCCGCGGGGACACTAAAGCCCCGAAATCATCTCAAGATAACTCAAGATAAGATGGTGCACAGGCAGTTAAAGCAAATAACCTACACCCCCTCGATAAATTTGAAGTACAGTATTAACAAGCATATACCTTCCTTCCTTTGATTTTTCTTTCATTCCTGTCATTAGTCTTTCCATCCTTCCCATTATTTACTGATCCTATCATCTTTAACATAAACCAAGTACAGTACTGTACTGTCCGTCAAACCTTCCATCTACAAATTTTTTATAGTGTCACATATCTGTTCCTTATTTATCCCTTTTTGTTTTCTTTCCACACAGCCATTTGCTTTTCCCTTGAAGAGACTCGGGCAAGCTTGTGCCCCAGATTAGAGATTGTTTTAGTCTTCAGTGGGGATAAGATTAGTTGTAAACCATCTCATCAGCCCTCATAATGGGTGTAGGGCTGTTCCACTAAGTGGTGGGTGATGGACTTAACTCACACACTCATACCATTTTGAGTTTAATATGTAATTTATTATTAATGCTTTCCACCACTACTGTATATTTCACTGTAAATTTATTGAGTATCTGTTTTTAATTACAGTATGTTCTTTGCAGTTACTGTATTATGTTATTACTGTATATTAAATTTTATGAATATACTATACTGTATATTAATTATTTTGTAAAATTTTCAGACGATTCTCATCTCTTGTTTCGTGGTAATTCATTGGCAACAAAAGCCATGGAGGCTTTCATGAAGCTTGTGGGCAGCAAGTACCTCCTCGACACATTACGGCAGGTCATCAACAAAGTTGTAGAAGCTGGACTTGATTGCGAGGTGAGTGTTAGTCATTATTTTTAATAATTTCTACAGTCTGTATATATATTGGCAGTCTTTCACCAAAGCTGCAAGTTTTCAGCATACAGTATTTCCGTTATGTGTTTTAAAATGTGTCTTTCATTCAAATTAAGAAAACATTTGTATAAAATTCATTTGGAATACACTGCTACTATACAGTATTCCTAAATCTGTGTCAGAAAATAAAGTTAACTTTGTGGTTGGCAAGGTGAAAAATTTCAAGAGTAGAAAGTAGTCGGTCTTCTAAATGAGTGGACAAAGAGTGTGGGAAAATGGCGATTGGAAGAGTACAAGATATAATGGAGAAATTAGACTGATCAGCAAGATGTGCTTTGTAGTGGAAGAGACAGCTAGTAGAGAGAGATGAGTGTGTATATGGCATCTATAGACTCCAAGAGAGCATAAATCAAGGTTGGTGGAATGTTATTAAATCATGTGAAGAGCTTTGATGTGGGAAGTAGAGCATCTGTGAGAATGATGTAGGATAAGGAGAGATTAGTTTGATATTATTGTAGGGGTATGGAAAGTGTACGTCATGTATCCATGGCTGTTAATTATGTACATGAAGAGACCATGAGGGATGCAACGGGAATTACATGTTATATATGTAAGAATAGATTCCACTTGGCTTGTACAGAGGTAAGCAGCACAGCATACCTAAAAGCTGGACATTTATTCTGGGTATGCAACAATGATTTGCCAACTTGGAATATATTAAAACAACTTCTAGAAACCATGACGTATGACCAAAAAATTTCATTGAAACCCTACCAGGCTTTCAAGAAGAATGGGACACAAATAATAATGAGATGGGAACCAACGCTCCCAAACCATTATCACTGTATTATTATTATTCCTCCCTGTCTAGTCAATTAAGGACAAGACAGGGAGGAAACTGAATTAGAAATTCAGGAAGTTGTAAATTTTTATTCAGTACGCCCGGGTAAAGATGATAATAGAGGTGTAGCAGGCAACACTGACAGTTCGATAGATACGGACACTACAACAGACCTCTATAGAAAGAGATGAGGACATACATTTGCAAGTTCTATGTACTGTATTTGGACCATTTGGAAGGACATTTGCTCACACATGTCCTGTTTACCTTTTGTTGCATGACGTCATTGAAGTGCTCACATTAAGCATTCCTAGTTCTAGCATCCTACATCACTTAACGTGATGTAGGACTGCACCTTGGCCAGATTAACCCCAAAAGCTTAGCAGAATCATTGTACAAAAGAGGATTACCATAAAGCGACAAAAGGAGGACGAAGAATGACCTGTTTAAGAGTAAAGGTCACACAAAACACATGGAATCACAATGTCTACATAACCCCGGACAATATGGGTTCCAGACATAGATATTCTGGAAATAGAAAGGGATTAGAATGCAGCCGCCACCATCCCAGAAAATGTAAATATACTTAGGAAAGGAAAATATTGCTTTGGATCAACATGCAAGTTTTTCATTCTGAAATGTGGAAAATCTCATTCCAGGAAATAAGATGCTATGACCTCAGCTGCCCATACTTTGATGTGAAAGGTACAGAATGCTACATAAAGAGTGGCAAACAAGAAAATGTCTTTGGAGGAAAGTTAAATAATTTTTATACCCAGAAGAAAGAGAGATGAAAAGGTGGAAGAGAGAGAATGTATGGAACGGGCTGAAAGACCCACTTGCATACCAAAATCAGATACAATTACACCCCACAACAGAACAAATAAGAGGCAAGAACACTGCAACATTCAGTACTAGTCAGAACAAATATATATAGCATATATAGCATATATAGCATCGGCTATATATGCTTGGTTATGCTCCCTAAACATTAGGTTGTCAGACATCATTATTCCCAGATCCTTTACATCCTGCTTTCCTGCTATGGGCAGATTTGATTGTATTTTGAACCCTGTATTTTGTTTGTCGTCATATTTATCTTACCCGAGTACCTGGAATTTATCACTGTTAAACATGTTATTTTCTGCTGTCCAGTCAAAAACTTGATTTACATCTGCATGATGTTTATCACTATCTTCAACAGAAATAATTTTCATGCTGATTTTTGTCATCTTCAAAAGATGATACAAAGTTGTGACTTGATACAAAAAGTTGATTATTTTTTCCAGAAAAAGATTGTCCAGAAAGATGATAGGATGGATTATATGAATCTGCAAATCCAAGGATCACTATCCCAATGACTGAAGTATTCAAATCACTTGTGCTGTCCCATCTTGAGTATTGTTTTATCCTCACTTCCTCCCTTCAGAGCAGGAGAGATTGCTGAAATAGAGGGAATACAGAGAACATACACAGTATATATAGACAAGATAAAGCACCTAAATTATTGGGATCGTCTCAAAGCTCTCCAAATTTACTCCATAGAAAGGAGACTAGAGAGGTATCAAATAATATACACGTGGAAAATACTGGAGGGCCAGGTCCGAGGTCTACTCGGTAAAATAACAACACACTGGAGTGAATGATAAGGAAGGAAATGCAGAATAGAACCAGTGAAGAGCAGAGGTGCCATAGGCACAATCATAAAATATTGTATAAACATCTGAGGTCCATGGTTGTTAAACATCCTCCCAG